TTGTTGAACAAAGATCAGGTTTTTTTCCACAGATCATGCAAATATACCCGAGTACTGATCACTGCACCAACCAGTCGTTTAGCTGTTTGAAGGAACAGTCCGTCCATGTTCTTATGTTTGTGAACAGAAGTGTCCAGGTGCTACTTTATTTAGAGGAGATGTCAATAAAAGCAACATCCACCCTTTTTTTCACACTTGAACAAACATCAACGTGACACGATTTCGAGTCACACGGTTTTCGTCCTTGTGCCAGCTGGTGAATTGTGTTTCCGCCTCCCACAGCTCGGACAGGAGGGGAAGGTCCCGCTGAAGAGCGCCGGTCTGTTCTTCGACCTCAGCGAGAAAGTGAGGAAGGTGTTGGAGTCGTACTTCCATCTGGAGACTCCACTGTACTTCTCCTACTCCCACCTGGTCTGTCGCTCTGCCATTGAAGGTAAGACAGGCGCTGGTGGTTTGTCGGTGTTATCTCTCTGGTAGCGAACAATCTGTGTGTGTTTGTTTATTGTTGGTTTGTTTGATTTTTAATGATGAGGCTGTGATTTTTCTTTTCTCTTGGTTCATTCATGGATAGATAGATTCTTTATCATCTGTCTTGAATTAAAAACAGAAATTCATCTTTAAAACGGCTCAATGGAGCATGAAACCATAATGAAGAACCACATCCAGGCACACTGACTAAAGCACATTCAACAACAGTTTAAAGGAAAAGATAAAATAAATCGTAAAATCCTCTATAGCATTTGTTAGATGTGTCATTAGAACAATTCCAGTCTTATAAAGTAATGAAATCATGTAGAACAATGATGCCAGGAAGTATTTCTCCCCACCTTAAATTGTAAAATATATGTGACTTATTTATTGACGTTTTTCAAATCAATTCAATGTAAACAGCGACAAAAGACGCTGTGTGAACATAAGACCGAGTAGTAACAGAAAAAACGGTGTCTAAGGTAACTGAGTATGTACGGACATGAATTCAGCATTCTTAGGATAAAACTGTGGGTTCTAAATATTTTAGCTTTGTGTCTAAGGAGTCATGATTTCTTCAGGTGTGGTATGAAAGAAAACCTAATGCCACCACAACATCTCCGACCCATCGGAGCATCGACTCCACAGACCTCTGAAGGTATCCTGTGGAGATGTTAGCAAAAAACCCTTCTGGATGTTTGTTTTTGGGTGAGGCCTCCGTGTGCCCACAGATACTGGATCAGGTTGGGATCTGGGTTTTTTAGAGACCACTTTCCTGGTTGACGTTTGCCGTGCAGCAGGGAGCATTATCCTGCTGAAAGAGGGCGCCGTCATCAGGGAATACCGCTGCCGTGAGGAGGGTAGACGGTCCGCAACAATGCACACGTCTGCTTCAAGAACCGACGGTTCACTTGCACCACTATGTGACGTTTTAATGAGATTATCAGAGTTATTCACGTCACCTGTCAGTGGTTTTAATGTTGCGGCTTGACGCTGTATGTGTTTACACGTATGTATGTGTGGATTTTGTGTTAAAGCCCTGAATGTTTGAAAGTTAGGACAGAATGCATGTATTTTCTTGACCCCTAGGGGGCAGCAGAACACAAAACACTGACTTTTTGAATGTGTTTTTTTAATGAGTTGACACAGTTTGTTGTCCATTGTGACTACAAGGCATTTGAAGCTGTTCACCTTTTAAGCTGTTTTATTATTGATGAGGATGGGATGCAGCGGTGGCAATGCACCTATTACTGCTTCTTCTGTTTTTTGAGATAAAGGCGGTTGTGTCGCCACCACTGGAGAAGTGTGCAGCTGCAATATTATTATTAATCAAGACCAGAATGCCATTGCTGCAAAACCACACCAGTTTTTACACGTGTGAAGTTCGTGTGATTGTTCTGTATGGATGTCTGTGCAGCTTTAAAAAAAAAACTCCCTCTACTCCTGCAAGGTGATGGTGTGAAATGCTCTAACTTCTCCCCACACTGCTGTTTACTCAGAGAAACAGGAGTCCCGTGAAGACCTGAGTCACCCTGTTCATGTGGACAACTGTCTGCTGGTTTCTGAGCTCAACGAGTGTATAAAGGAGCCTCCTGCATACACACACAGAGACTACAGGTGAGTTCACACACTCACACACACACACACACACACACATATACAACGTCCAGTCCCTCCTTCATCCACACAGCAGTGATGACGTGCATCCACCTAACACCTGCCGTGTTTCTCCTGCAGCGCTATCCTTTATCTAAATGACGACTTTGAAGGAGGAGAGTTCATTTTCACTGAACTGGATGCCAAAACGGTCACGGTAAATATATTTAAACAGTAAACTGTTATTGCCATAATGTGCTTTCGACATAATAATCTCCTATGAAACATTAACATTTGTGTTTCTGGAAATGAAAATTGAAAACTGTAGTCTACCATTTGAATGAGTCCATCTGTAGAAAACTGGGGGTTTAAATATAAGTGTGTAAATCGAGATGCGATCCAAGCTGTGAGGTCCGGGGAACTCTCTATAAACCTCCACCATTAAACTATAGTGAGGCATAAATGAGGGTAAAGTGATCTCAGGAGCAAAGTGGTCTCAGTAATTGTGAAACTGAAGAGGTTTGTAACCAACAGGACTCTCCGTAGTCCTTTAAAACTCCAGTCAGAGTTCGTTAAAGACATTTAAACATTTCTGAGAGACCAAGGAGGTAGACTCTCTGGTCTAGTGAGACAAAAACTGAACTGTTTCTTCAGACATCCAAACATTTTGTGTGCAGGCACCATTCATAACTTCCTAATCATGTCCTTTCAGTGAAGCATGGAGGTGGTAGCATCATTCTACAGTTTCAATTAGCAGATGCTTTTATCCAAAGCGCCGTACATCTGACAGCAGATACAACACAAGCAAGGATCTAGTCAGGAGAAAACAGTCTAGATAAGTGCCATAGAACAACTTTAAGTGTGACAGGGCGTTGATGCCAATAGCAGGCTGTGGTGAAGCTTCTCTGACTGTCCCTGAGTAGCTTCGTCAAAGCCCAGACAACACAACGTCTGTGAAGAGACATGAAGATCGACGTTCAGATGCTTCCATCCAATCCAACAGAGCCTAAGAGGATATGTCAGAGATGATGGGATAGATTGTCCCAGTCTAGGTGTGCACTACCTTGTATAGACTTAGCAAAGAAGACTGGAGCCTGTCACTGCTGCCACTACTGAATTAAAGGGGCCATATTATGCAAAATCCTGTTTTTAAACAATCATTACTTGTCCCAAGTGTGTTTAGAGATGCATGAAGTGTAAGAAAAGACCATTCCTTTGTTTCTTTATTTCACAATATTGTGTGTAGATTGATGAACACAAGACTGATGGTGTCTGAAAGCATTTAAAGCTGGTAAATGTTGTGTATTGTGTGTTTTCGGACCTTCCCAGGCTGAGGTGCATCCACAATGTGGTCGTGTGGTTGGATTCGGAGCGGGGAAGGAAAACCCTCATGGCGTCAGAGCCGTCACCAAGGGTCAGAGGTGTGCTGTAGCACTGTGGTTCACTCTGGATCCTACTCATGAGGAAAAGGTATGGATGAAGTCTGGTTTAGGTTTAGGTTTAGGTGTATCATCCATTTATTCAGTGATTCATTCAGTGCAGAAGAGGAACAGGAAGTGTTTGTTTTTTCCATTGGTGCTATTCTTCAACAAAGGAAAATGTGTTTTCCTGTTAGAAAGTGGATTATCCAATGGATTATCTAGTTATGTTTTGTAAAGTTGAGGGTCATTAAGAAATGGTGGAAACCTTATGACCAATCTGAAACCAGTTACCAAGGCCTGGGTGGGTTACTGTGTTTTAATGTCACCTGTTGTGCTTCAGTCCAACCCAGATGTTTATCTGAGCTTCTCTCCTGCTCTCTGTGCTCACATATACTGCATTTTAATACAGCTGAATTCCCAATAAAGCTGTTCTCATTTACATGTGTTCTTCTTTTTCTGTCGCCAAGTTGTTTTCTACTTTCCCTAAAATGTTTTCTTTTCTGTCCTACAGGAGAGAATCCAAGCTCAGGATATGCTGAAGATGTTTTCTACCCCCGTGAATGCAGAGTTCAGCGAAAAGGAGGCAGCTGACACTGTTGAGCCTAAGTCGACGACACCTGAAAGTCCTGCACAGGCTGACCAAGAGCCAGCAGAGAAAAAACAAGACGATAAAGCACCAGAGCCGAAGCCAAGTGCGCCGACGGTCCCAGCAAAGGACGCCGCAGCAAAACCGGCCGGCAAAACAGCCGCTAAAACCAAAGCTGCGCCTAAAGCAAAGGCTAAATCTGGAGACCAAGCAAAGGCTAAATCTGGAGACAAAGCAAAGGCCAAAACGGCAGACAAAGTTAAACCTGCTGCTAAAAAAGATGCAAAACAGACAGTTAAAACACAAGCCAAGCAGGTTGCTAAAAAGGACACAAAAGCAGCAGCGAAAAAGACAGAAAAAGTTAAGAAGGACTCTACGTCAACGTCTGACTCTCAGAAAGGCAAAGAGGAGCTGTGAACAAGCAGTGACTGTCCCCAAGTCAGCTCTATTTTTCTACTATTTTCTACAAGGTCGTCTCTGTGGGTGGTTTGTGTGAAAACTGTTCTGCAAAATAGTTTATTTTGCCTTTTAAGTTAATTGATTAAGATGGATGTCATTGAAATTGTTGCCGACAATGTGCTCAAGTGCCCGTGAACACTGTAGCCATCTCTTTTTGGCAGACGCTGTAAAGACTGCGCGTAATTTTATTTCACTTTTAAAACTGAGCTCTCTGTTTGTTGTCTTTTTATTTGTGATGTTATGTTGTTGAACTAAGCAGAGATGGGTGAAAGGGGGACGAGGGGAGAACCTGGAATCAGACATGTGAATCTATGGAATAAAAAGTGCTGTTTCTAAATATCATTGAATCCTCATCAGGAATTTTAAAAAGAAGGTATGCAGTACGCCGCCTGCTGCCCCTGCGACCCGACCCCGGATAAGCAGAAGACGATGGATGGATGGATGGTATGCAGTACTCCACGTGGACACTGGGTGGCAGCATAGTAGCATTCTTGAGTAATTTCTCACCCACTGTCACTTTGCATTTAACAAACTGTAACAATTCACTTTAGGAAACCTTCCTCCTGCTGTGATTTGGTTTAAACCTGAAACATTCACATTCAATCAGGCCAGTTTCACTGCAGTCTGTTTAGGAATCTGTTTTCTCTTTGGGCACTGCTGCGGATATAATTGAAGTTGTTTTCTTTTCTTTTTATTGACATTCAGTGACAAATGTGCATCTGCTTTAGTTATTAGTCACAAAATATCAGCCTGAATGCCCCTTTTTTTTTAGACAAAAACAAAAAGAACATAAAAAAAGAAAACCATCACATAACATAAAGGGAGTGGGATGCAGTTATTGCTACATACACAGCACATTATTTAAAACTAGCAGAGTCAATGTCCGGCCTACGTGGCATTGTGTAGTCCATCCACTTCTTCCAACGTTTAACAAACAGGTCTCTCTTGTAATTCACATCTGCTGTAATTCTCTCCATCCTGTAAATGTCCATCATGATGTCCGTCCACATGTTTACAGCTGGGCTTTCCCTTGACAGCCATTTTTTCCTCAGGGCCTTTTTGCCTGCCGCCAAGAGAATACTCAACAAGTATTTGTCTCTCTTTGGCCATCTCTCAGGCATGAGTCCAAAGAATAACATTTTGATCTCCAAGGGCAGGGAAGTTGTTTTCTAATATAATACAGCTTATAAAGAGCCCCTCCATACATGGTTGAAGATATTTAAAAAGCACCTTTGGGTCAGATTTCAGAAGAAGAATTAGAAAACAGGTTTCTGGTTTAAACCGATGATGCATCTTTCTGCACGGTGAAGCTCAAACTTCCAGCAGAAGAAACACAGATTCATGTGTGGATTGACACTTGATCCATTTTATGAGGATAGTATTTCCTCACTGGGAAAAAGCACATCAATGACGCATCTCAGGTGGTGGAAACTAATCTCTTTTCTCCAACTATTGTACTTAAATCATTCTGTTAGCTACGTTTACTTGAATACTGCACAGTGGACGACTATCTCAGCATATTTATAGCATCCTTAAGAAAAATGAGAAAAGACACATCTGTTACCAGAAAATACTATTTTTCTGGTTCTATGTTGGGGATAAAAATGTTAGTAATGCCTTACCTTTTTACCTTTGTCTCATCTGAAGCAGTGTTAACTCATATGTTCTGATGGAAACACAGAAGACTCCCAACTAGTCCTGCACACAGCTGGCAGATCAGGTTCAAGATGTCCAGACCATGACAGCGCGGCTCCCTGCAAGCTTTAAACTTCACGTCTGTGTACAAAGGAAGCGGTTTTATCAGGTAAACCTCATTCATTCTCTGACCGACTGCAGCATTGTGATGACATGCATAATTGTGCCACATGATTTCACAATATCTCCTCTGTCACAGCCCTGTTTTTGGTCTTTGCCAACTGAGGTACATGTCAAAGTTCTTCACCTGCTAAATGCTCTGTTTTTACCAACTTGTTGCACACTTTGTCTCTCTGATGCTGATCACGTAGCGTATAAAGAGCTGTTTCACTGAAAACACACCAGTGCAGGACAGCTAAACAAAAACTAACAGCTGAGGAGAGCAACAAAGAGCCTCAGATTCACTTGATGCTCGTCTACAGGTTAATCATTAAGAGCAAACCTGTCACTGGATTCATGCTTTGATTTGAATCTTTACCACAGCGGAGTCGAAGATGGAGAGAAAACCAACATTTTCCCCCCATTTAGCAGCACTGGGCGAAAGTGGGAGGAAAAACACTCTTTTAACAGGAAGGAACCTCCGGACAGGGAGGGTGGTGATCTGCCAACAGCAGATGAGCAGCGAGAAACAACAGACAATAAACACTGGGCAGGTTGGTGACGCCAGTAACTGCAGATCAGAAACATGCAGCTCCGGTGCCAGAGATTCCTGCAGAGAGAGGACAGAAAGGACAAAGCACAAGCTACAGGAGAGAGAAAACACAAAGTTAATCACACGCAATGATGGCATATAGATGTATGGAGGGTGAAAAAGAGGAGAGGAGCGGTGCCCGGTGCATCATGGGATGCCCCGAGCATAACTAAGGGAAGGTTCAGGGTCACCTGAGCAAGTTCTAACTATAAGCTTTATTAAAAAGGAACGTTTCAAGCCCAGTCCTAAAAGTGGAGAGAGTGTCTCCCTCCTGAACCCAAACTGGAAGCTGATTCCACCGGAGAGGAGCCTGAAAGATCTGCACCCATTTTGCTTTTGGGAACCATAAGTACACCTGCAGTCTGAGGGCAAAGTGCTCTGCTGGGGTAGCCAACAAAGAGAAGCTAAGATGGAAAAATAAAATCTGTCTTTTAGCCTCTGTGTTGATATGCTGCAGGTGCTGATTGGCTGATTGAGCTCTGTGGATCTGATCACAGTTACCGTTCCTTAGTGTGGCAGAATCTAAGTCTGGATTTCATCAAACAAATTTGAATTGTGAAAATGTAGAGTTGAACTTTTAGTGAGGATAAGTTAGTTAAATATCAAATGTTAACATTCAGTTTACAGTTGATTGAAATACAGTTTAAATTTGATAAATATCGTGTTTTCAGAATCCTGCGCCGGGCGGAGGAGGTCGAAATCCAGATTTTCAACCATCCAGGTACCATAAGGAGTTGTGGGGTTGCCAAGTGACATGGATGAAGAGGAGACGGTGTGAGCTGGGAGGAGGTCGTCTTCAGCCAACAACTGGAGAGGCTCAGGTGAGGGGAGGAGGAGGTGAACCCACGGACCACCACCTCAGCCTGGGGTTGTGTTGGGGTTGAGCAGGAGGGCCACTGAGTGTCCTCATTAAGGTCAGTGATCTTTTTATTTGCCTCTTTCAGAGATTCACTCGGCTTGGGAAGGACGATTGTCTTCTCACATGGGCCGCTGGAGTAGACTTGCTCTTCTCCATCAGCATCGAATAACTGATATCAATGAGCACTGCTTCAAGGTCTTTGGACCGTGAGGCAACCCAATCGATAGAATAACCAGGCTGGAGCTGGATTTTGCTCCAGGGAATTAGAAAACAACGTCCTCCACCAGCAGATAGCACCAACATCAATGGCCGGGGTACGTCTGACACCCGGCATAGCTGACCATCCACTGGAAAGAGGCGTCGTTGTTCACGGTCATACAGTCTGCGCTCTTCAAACGACCATCGCTGTGACACAAAAAAGGAAATTCATGAGGGAAGACTTTGGGGTGACAGGTCACTTGAGAAAGAGATCACTCTGCTTGTAATCCCATTAAGCGCAAAAACGCAGGTTTTTACGCATGCTTTGGTGAGAGGGATGAATTGCAAGGAAAAGAGGCCTCGCTTTGTAGCTCTGTGACGCGTCTCACGCAGGATCTGAAGGCAGCTGTCAAATCCTAAATGTATGTTGCATGTGTTTCAAGGGATTTCCTTTAAAGTGTAAACACTGTGCATTAGTGGAGGTCAGTGACAGTCAGTCAGAAAACACTCACAGACACAGTGACTGGCTTCTTCTTTGCAGAAAATCAGCTCTACGTAGCAGGAACACATAACCGCCTCTCCATATGTGAAACTGTACATCTAAATTACTGATATGTTCTGCAAAATAGAACTAATACTACCTAGACCTCCTATTTATGTTCCTCTGCAGTTGCTCATAAGCATCTTCATACAGGGCAAACAGTTTGCGGGTGTTTTGACGCCAAAACCGCAGCCCTAAAGAGTTTATCCTTAGTGGCCAGTGAAGTAGGGATCTCTATACAGAACTACACCTACAGAGGAAACTTCAGAAGAAGGATAATGGATTGTTTGATCTTTTTGGTCCTTTCTCTGGTGTTGTACTGAATTAACATTTAAATGGAGACGCTCCACTCAGAATTAGACTCTTTCTGACACTCTCACACGTCCACAATAACAAACATAAATAGCTACAATCTGCTCGTGTCACCGTGTATTATGCATGAACTCAAGAGTTTGTTGCTGGAAATTGAAATACAGAAACTGACAGTTAAGAACAAGTAGCCACAGATTAGTAAGTGTTGCATCACAGAAAAGAACTTGAGCTCAACATTCAGCTCAAAGGAGGTCTTTCGGGAGTCTGTTCACCTCGAGGCTTCAGGACTTGTGTACTGGTCCAAGGCACAGTGAACAGCAGAGGACACACTTTGCCCTCACTGAAAACCCCATTGATGAATTTTTCATGTTCCTCTGTTGAGCTGCAGCTAGACTTTGAGAGCAGCTTGTCCACCGGTAGTCACACCGTCTGAACCCTGACTAGCTAACTTTACCTGGTTCTGCCATTGAAGACGACATGAGGACAAGCCCGATCTGCAATGTCTGACAATTTCAAGCTATGCTGCCCTCAAGTGAGAGTGATAATAGGCCGCACTGAGCTCAGGAAGCATCTGAACAACAAAAATCACACTTTTAAAGGTGTGATTGGCATTGTTCCTGTTGGGGTTGTCACACTGGAATCCAAACTGTACACAGGCTCTGAAATAACTCAAATCTCACAGATCTTACAGTAGCTTCAGCCTGGAGAGGAAAACAAGAGTTTCCACATTGACAGGATGCTGTCAGAGGTGGCAGCAACACTCATCCTAAAGAAATCTACTCAACTGGGCAAAGAGGAAACCCATAGAGTCTATGCTATTAGCCATGTGAGGAACCATATGGAGGGTGAAGGAGTGCCACATCGGGGATGGACTTGTTCCTCCTTCTTTGGTAAGTTTAGTCAATCAGTTGTTGTCCTGACATCATGCTATCAGAAATAACCAAAGGTGAAGAAAGTTTTTCCTAAAAATGATGTGCATTGTTGTATTGAGGGCTGCAGGGTGGCTCAGTGGTTAGCACTGTCGCCTCGCAGCCAGAAGGTTGTCG